TTATGGAATACTTGCTCTGTTGCACCCAAAGGATGTGAGGAGCAGCTAGCAATGTGCCAGGGGAAAATAGCATATAAACAACAAGTTCTTTTGCACTGTCAGCTCGTGGAAGAACGTATTGCAATGAACGGCCGTGTTCGTGGTAGATTTGGAGATTTTGGGGGTGAGCGAGAAAGTACAAATTTGTGATCATGCATGATTTGTATGAAGCAAAGGTAACTTCTGAATTAAGTTGAAATTAGAAAAAAAGTTAAAGAAGAGCACAGATGGGTTGGACTTGCTCACAAACAAGGGTGAAAGAGGTTCCCTCTTAGGGGACTATTCGCTGGTTACAGCTGCCCCCCTCATGCAGAAGTCGTGTCTATAGTGACTATAACACTTATGAAGGTTAAGCCAAATTAACAGAAACTGTGAGTGTAAAACATGCTAATTAAAGCAGATTAAGGGCTTGTATGCATAAATTGATCCCAAAGGATAAGCTAAAACAACTAAAACCATTGGTGAGAACAACTACGTAACTTCAATGCACTTTAGCTTTTGCATTGAAGAATCTTAACTTTCACTTACAGACCTTTTTTTTTCCCTTCTTCTTAAAATCTCATAGTATGTTCTGATAGAGAAAGAATAAGATGTCTTATCAAAAAATAGAGTATTTAGATGAGACTTGACTATCAGAGTCCAAGAGAAAGGTGTGATTGGGATAGTGCAGATTATGACTCATTCCTTGGAGCAAACTCCAAATTAGTGATCCAGATATGTATGTTCATACGGATACTGCGCTTACCAAAGCAAATCAAAGCTAAGGAAAGCGGACTTGCATTTTTCTTCCGCTTTTTAAAAGGCAACTTATTTTTTGCACAGAGGTGTTTAGAAAAACTACCTGTATTGCTGATAAAAATCTGTAAATAGACTCTCCAACTTTCTCTGTTGTGAAAACAGAGATTGAGAAAGTTGAATCTATAGATAACTGATAAAGATGGTAAGACGATTGAGGTTTTGATCTATCTTTAATGTGTTCTTGTCTGCAAACATACAGTGGTATTAATGTTTGTATTAATGATATATTTTGATCTGTCTGTACTATCATTTCTTAGAAACAATTCGATATCTTGTTTTCTAATTGTTCTTTCATATCTGTTATTATTTAAAACAATCAAGGGCACTGTTTTAATGATTAAGTTGCAGAGATCTGCTGTGCCTTGAAGTTCCTGTTCTGTTTTCATTCTGAAAGAGCAAAATTCAAGTCACTTTTGTCATGATAGGAGAAGTTTGCAATGGAAGTAATGATATTCTAATTCAACGGGAAATCCCATTTGTCCACATTTTCTCATATATACAAACAACACTTTTCCTTCCATCCTGTCCCCCACAAGCAACTGTTCTAATAATTAGCCTATTAGTGATTCTTATGTCCATGTATCAGTAGCAATTTAAGATGTATATAAACAAATGCAAGTTAGTTTTTTAATCTGTGGCTGTTCATCATTTACAAAAACACAGTATGCGTTCCTCAATATCACACACTGAGATTATTCTAGAAAAGACAGCAAACTCAAACTGCAGAACTAAGAAGCAAACAAATACCCTGCAATGTATAATGTTTCAATCCACTTCCCTTATGAAGTGGGACTCATTAACTGGGCAATGTACGGTAGCTTTCTCTTTAATTACACAGTTTTATTACACAGTGGAATGATTTTTCAGAATGCAACTGTTTTTGCAGGCTGACCTTTCATTATAAGAGAAGTTTCTGTCTAATGAAGAGAGGTAATTAGAGCAAGGAGTTGACTTTTGGCATATAGAGAGCTATGGTTGCCGGGGCCTTCCTACTGCAGAATGTTATTTAGGAGAGAGCCTTCATTTACATATTTCTATATACATTATAGAGCCACATGTAAGCAGCTGTGGTGTTGATACCCGGGCTAAGAAAAGCAGTGCTTGCAACTATCCTCAAAATGCTCTTTAGCTCACCCAGTAGATTGCATAGGATACGTTGCACCTGGCAGCAGTGGGTTATGAAAGGGACATAAGTGTTCGGAAAGGAGTCACTTTGGGGCCTTTTATCAAGCAGCTAGTAGCGTTGTTTCTAGATGCAGTCCAAGTTCTGCCAAACATGTGCATCTGCAGATCTAGCTGAAGCATTATCTGCAGCATTTACTGGGTGTTTCAAAACAGAAGTTGAATTTGCTCTGTATTAGGATCTGTGACTACTTCAAGCCAGCATAATAGTCAGCCTTGACCTTTGCTTGCCTGTATATGAGAGAGAATTTTGCTTGAGACTGGAAGCATAATAATTGTGAGGGGCATTTGTTCTGACCACCACATCTAACAGTTCACTCAGCGTGATTTAAGTGTGAGAAATGCCCTTCCCCAGGTGGCTGATTTTTGTAGTAGAATTAAGTGTGGCAGGAGAGTTTGCTGGTTATTCTAGCTCTGAATTTTTCCCTCTGCCTTTGTGAACATTACACTCCAGCAGAGATGTCTTATTAAAGTCGGAAATGCATAAGATTTTGAATATTTAAATTTTCTCATTTACTGAAAAATAGGCCATTTGGATGTATGCTTTTCCACATTGGTACTAGAGAAGAACTAAATCATTCCATGATAGATCTACAGTGTAAAATATTCATGTTTTTTCAAATAGAAATGATAACTACTTTGCTGTTAGTCATTTTATTTCCTTTTTGCAAACATCAGAAGAGGGAGATTTTGTTTACAGTGGTGCTTCTGAGGAAAGTACAAAGGAAAATGTTGCCAATGTTTTTGCAGAAGTATTTTAGGATTGCCAGATCTCAGTAGTTGTCTCTAAAGTTGTCCTTATGATTCTAGACAGCAAAACTAAACGCTGGCAGAATGGCCTTGACCATTCTCACAACGTGAATAAGGAAATACCTGAAATTGCTGTCAGGATACAGCTTGCAGACAGTACATTCTGCCATACAGTCACAGAAAATATTTGTTAAAAACTCCAGTAATGAATATCTTGATACAAGGACTTAATTAACCACAAGGAAAAAAGAAAAGCGTGAATTTGAATTATTTTTCAGTACATACACCCGTGCACTTGTAGTCTCTTATTGAACTCTTTCCAAGAGTACTTCAGTCCACAGACACTTTTAGAAGGTGCTGTCAGTCAGAACATATGCTAAAGGGAACCAGTCTGCCAAGGGAAGAATTATATGCAATGCAACCTATAAAGAATGGATCTAAACCTCCTTATAGGTTTTACCTCCTTATAGCCCTTATAGGCTGCCTTCGCTTCCTCCTCCTCATATTTTCACACCTTGGCTTGTATGGTGAGAAGAAAACTGAACGAACCAAGGAACCCATTGCAGAGACTTGCAGTCAGTTCCAGGAAGGTTAGAGGGAAAACATTGCAGTATTGATTCTGTGCACGCAGAGGATGAGTCCAGTAACATATGTGGCCTAGATAAAAACTTAGCAAATAGGAGTCTTAGACTGCCCATATACTGATACTAATAATTGTCCCGTTATCACTTAACACAGTTTCTTTATGAATAGTATCATGTTTCATGATGTTTGGTGAAAAGGTGGCATTTTACTTTCCTAAATTTTATCATTCTTCGACAGGAGGCATTATGGTTATTCTCAAGTATAAACATTGCCAGTTTTTCTTAAAGCTCTGAAAGGTTTTGCATTTGGTAATTAAATGAACTGCTTGAGTTAGTATTGTACTTTTCAGCCTTTCACATTTAATTAATATTCAAGGAGGAATTATGAACAATTTATATCTGTCAGGAAAAGACAAGACGTAACAAATTGTCTCCGTGCAGATGTGAAATTGAGGCAACCTTAGAGAGACTAAAGAAACTGGAGCGTGATCTGAGCTTTAAAGAGCAGGAACTGAAGGAACGGGAGCGACGTTTGAGGATGTGGGAGCAGAAGTTAACCGAACAGTCCAATACTCCTGTAAGTAGACAATAATTGAACCTTTCATCCTACTTCAAAAAGCATTTGGAGCTTTGTCTGTGTAAATGTAAGGACACAACAAGGAGGTAGTGCCCCTGGGTCCCCTATTTGTTTCCCTGGGGCAATTAAAGCCTATTTTACTAAATCACTGCAAATAGTAGTACTTTTAAAAATTTTTACCTGGTATATTAGATATATGTTAGATACTAACTGTGGGTCATATTGTGCCAAAGGCATTTAAGCAGTTTCCTATTGATGTAATTGCAGTTCTCAGCTTTAAAGGCTGATTGTCTGAAATCAGATAACCATTGTATTCGATAAAGTCATTTTTCAGCTAGGAAGTTGTTGACTTTAATGGACCCGGGATTTGGCCTAAAAAGTATGAATCATTTGTTTCTGGCAGAAGAAGGTTTCAGAAATCTGTTTAGATATTTTATCTCTTCTTTTGCTAAAAAAGAAGCAAATTTCTATTCCGTGGAAAATTTGAGGCATTAATTATTCATGAAGCTCCAAATTATAGTTAACATACGTGTACCGGCCAGTCATTAGCTGCTGGAATTGTCACATTTCAGTTAATGAATGGAACAAAATGTCTTTTTGCATAAACTTGTTTTTAAGGTATAGCTTATTGTCACTGCTTGAAGTTGCATTGGTGTTTCAGCTGTGAACGTGTAGCAATGAAATGACGAAGTATGAGTATTTTCCTATGCCAGACACTGCGTGTTCTCAGTAGATACCTGTATGCTTTAGTGCTTGCCAACTTTCAGCAACCGAGCCGCGGGCCCTCACATACCCAGCATGAGACCCTGCCTTGGTGAACCAGTCCTTTTTGCGAGCAAAGCCCTACGTTTTTTTATGCTGTGCTTGCTTATCACTTCTACGACTTGGGTAGAGCTGGCATTGCTGAAAGAATGGAGCGTTGTGCTTAGCATGAACTGGCTTTCTGCATAACATTAACTCTTGTGTTTAAATGCAATCTCTTCCAATAGAGAAATGTAGGTTTGTTTTTTCCTTAGATATTGTTGGAAAAAAAAATGACATACTGATAGAAATTGGTTTAACTTACTCGGATCAGTCTGTTCCTAGCAAACGAAGTTCTGAAGAGCAATCAATTACAACTACAACCCAATCTTAAAGTCACAGCTGCAAATCATTTTGCAGCGCCCCTGTGCCTGCTGTTGCAAGCCCTGGTCCCTGAGGCAGACGTGTTGCCCCTGCCCAGGTTCAGGGTGTGCCTGCGTGCGGCTGCGTGGTTGCAGCAGGAACGTGCACGGCTTCATTTTAAGCTGCTTTGTTGCAAGGGCAGTAGCAAAGATACCGCCTCGGGGGCAACAACACCAGTTAGGGTCCCTGCCAGGCTCGTACTCGGCCCTAAGCTGACACTGAGTCCTGCTGCTCGTCCCTGCCGTACACTCTGCCATCCCTTCTTCATTTGGCTCTGCAGCAGAGACCAGGGCCAGCAGACACTAGTGAAGTGGTGTGCAGGAGGAGAAACTCTAATGAGGTGAGAGCAGAGCAGGGAAGCTCTCTCTGCCACTTGATTCTCCAGTCTTTCAGGGTTGGTACAAGCTGCATCCTGAGGGATAGATAGATCTGGTTAATATGCTGCTCCTACCCCAGGGAATAGAGTACAGCTTTCCATATAGCAGTGTGAGAGATGGATGAGGACAATCATTAGCAACACTTCTCTGGTAGTAATATTTCTCTTCGCTCCGGTTTTGGCCCCGTTTCTGCCGTGTCTTACACAGCAGGCACCTTTGGGTCTGATGTGGGTAGATTTGCTTTGCGCAGATACTCAAGAGCCTTTCGCAGCACAGGTGAATCTGGAGCCTTTGGTGGGGAATAAAATATATCTAATGCACAGCTGTAGTGAAATAAGAGCCATTTTTTGAAAGAGGACCTGACTTTAAGAAGGGCAAGCTTGTAGCTCAGCTGAGTGTCACATCGAGAGGAAGGCAGTGAGCAGGACTTGAATTCCAGTATTCACCTGCGGTGCCATGCAACTTGAATGGGTCGCGTAGGAGGAACTGTGACTTGTATAGAGGTTGGAGATGAGAGATCACAGCCATATATCAAAGCCTTCATGATCTTTATTATATGTAATGTGACGTAAAGGCAGATGCTGTCCCAAAGTGCTCTTACTCTCTCTATGTAACGAGAGAGAGCAAAATGTGGAGGAGTGGGCAGTGAGTATAATTCACAAAACGAGCCACACACAGTTTGCCACCCACGTTGTCAAAAATTGCAAAGTGTTGGCTCAGAAATGCGTTTCAGTGGGAAACCATGTGCAGCTTTGTTGATATTTTGGGGGAGTTCCTCCCCTGTATCAGGGGAATGGATGCAAAGTGAATAAAATTACAATAGACAAAAGAATTACCAGGCACTGAATTGTTGCATGCACTGGGTATGGTGTTTCTGTGGTTAGGTTGTGTTTTTAACATAGTACTTCTCTATATTAGTAGGAGCTTTTGGGTTTCTTGATCTGAATAGTGCTTTGATGGTTGTGTTATCACTAGAATGTTAGTGCTCCCTCTCTCTCCAACTTTGTAAAATTTATCCATATTTCTTAAATGACAACCACTAATTTTTGTTGTGACATAAATAGGAGGTGTATATAAGTAGGGGAAACTTAGAAGAAAAGGCAGATTTTTTAGTGACAATTTGTCAGCGAAGTGTTTTTTGCCAGGAGACGTGTGTTCTTTGAGCCACCTGGCCGCGTGGTCTCCCTGCACTGCAGACCATCATATTATCATTGGGCAGATACGGATTTTCCTGGGGGGAGCTGAGCAGCGTGAAGGGGCTGTCCGGGCCGGCCAGCAGCCCCTCTTGCTGCCACGGCGGGCCGAGACCCCTTCCCGCTGCCTCGGCCCTGCCGAGGGGCTTGTTTCCAGCTGCGAGGGGTGAGCCCTCCTTTTGCTTTAGAGCCTGTGCGCCAAACCAGTCTTGGTATCACTCATATTCTGCTGGTGGTTTTGGTATTTAGATGGCTTATTACTTTGCACTGAACTTTGGGAGCTTTCTGGGTTCTTTGGTCAGAACCGGATTTATTCTTCAATCCTGAGGGGTTCAATTAAGCAACTCGCTCACTCAGACTTCAGTTGTACCTGCATTGCACTGGGAGACAGCCTGTCTGGCTAGGAAATGTCATAATCTGATTGATGTTGAACAAAATGAAGGCTTGAAGAGTTTGAACCTTCTTTTATCATGAAAGCTCTGCTACCTATGGCTCTTGCCATGTGACTTTGCACTTCATTTTAAAAACAATGACCAGAGAATTAAGCTAAGTCTGTTTTAATGCATTCTTACCTGAGCTTGATGTTTAGATTCACTAATCATTATGCTTTCTGTTTTATGCTCACTAATCTGGTGGTGTCTTTTTATTTTTTTCCCTGATTTTTAAATTGGTTCTAACTTTCACTTTTGCTCTGTCCTTTCCTCCTTTAAATAGTTTCTCTTACCTCTTGCTGCAAGAATGTCTGAGGCGTCTTACTTTGAATCTAAAACAGAGGAGTCAAACAGTGCAGAGATGTCATGTCAGATCACAGCAACAAGTAACGGGGAGGTAGCTGGCATGAACCAAAGTCTGAAGGCCTTGATGATGACGGGCTTTGGGGATATCTTCTCTCTGAACAAAGCAGGATCTGTCCTGCATTCTGGAATGCAGATAAACATGCAAGCCAAAAAGAATTCTTCTAAAACCACCTCTATGAGAAAAGGAAAGAAAATCAACATGGCTTTGGGTTTCAGTGAATTCGACTGGTCAGATGACGATGATGATGATGATGATTATTTTGATGACACAGACGATAGCAGCGAATGAAATCAGTTACAGAATTGAGTCTGAAATCGTTTTTTGCAAAGCAAAACAATAAAATTTTAGAACAAGAATCCTGTCAGTTTGGTCTGTTTAAATCATGTAAAAGAAAAAAAGTGAGTTTTCCAGGCTGAGCGTGTTTGTGTGTAGAAAGACATGTTGTTTCCGTTTAGATTGTGTTGACTTATTTCTACTTGGATGAAATTTGGAGCTAAACTTTCAAAACTAATTGAGATGATGATTATTATTATTTTAAGAACCATTATTATAGCTATAATTCTTGATGCCTGATTACAGAAACTATGGCTTGATGAATTTAAGATCTGAAAACATTGGGGGAGACTTTAAAGCCTATTGTACTTCATTTTTTTTCTTTGTGTTTTTTTTTGTCATTTTCCTTATTACTTTTACAGTCAATCATGTAAATATAATTGTACTTCCAGATTTGCTTTTCTTCTGCAATCCTTTCTTTCTTACTATTGCAGTGAAGGGGTTTGCTGTGTTTCTAATTTAAAGCCTTTTCCAAGGCAGCATTGTGAGATGTCGCAAATATGTTGCTAGGAAAAAAAATGAAGCTTGGATGAGAGAAATAGAGGGGTTAGTTAAACACAGTTTAAAAACCGAATAGCAGAAGAGTATAGATAATCCCTGTTAGTAGCTGATTTGTATAAATGTTCTCATTTCTCTTGCGTGTGTGCTTGTGTATATAATTCACTCTAGCACAGCCAATTGCAATCAGACCTCTGCATCTATTAGCAGTTATTGTGATGTAGAAGCTGATTTTCGGTTATGTTGATGTAAATCCAGGAAGCCTCATTAACTTTGATGGACTTACTCTTGTACCTGAGAGTAAAAATTGGCATTAGGTTATTTACAGCAAATTTGCTTCTGTGGTATCTCTTAAACCACGTGTGCCATCGTTGCAAGAGGAGGAAGAGAAGTCACAAGGACATTTTTGCTTGGGCCTGACTACTGTGGCTCACGTGAAATTCTCAATGATAATGTGATAATGTGAGGAATATTTGCCAGTCTCTATCTTTTTTTTTTTTTTTTTTTTTTTTTTTTTTTTTTCAGCTAAATCACTTCTAATGTATTGCCACTGCTGTGATGACTTATCCTACAACTCAATGTGCAACAATCTGCTGCAGTAATTGCCTGCCAGACACTCACATTGAGAGCAGTGAGC